TTTAAGGTGCATATTTCTATGTCTGTAAGCTTATTTTCTGGAGATTTTTCTCTTTCTTTCTGAGATGCTTTGTCACCTTTGTTGTTCATGGTGTTTAATAGACTATTTCTCTGCCTGGACATTAGTGGCAGTGTATTCTGCTGTTTTTCCAGCGAGAAGATTTATTATATAAAGATCTCTCTTTAGCTTGCTGCGAAGAAGGCACTTTTGTTTTGGTTTTCAGTAAGTGACGTCTAAGCTTCTTTGATCCCTGCTTTATATAAAGCCTAAACAATGCCTTTTTTATTTTCTTGTAGATATTTAATCTTGCTTGCCACCCTCAGTTTCAGTCTTTGTTGGTGTCAATGACAGTCTTGGCAGCGTTTGCTCAGATTCCCCTGGGGCTCCATGGTGTTCAGTTTCAGAGGGTATGGTGGGGAGGGGCCCTCTGGGTTGGGCTGTGGCTCATCCTACAGGGAGCTCTGGTGGCTACAAGAGACAGCTTCTTTATTTCTCCCAGTCCACTACCCGACACCCGGGGATCTGACTTGTGGTAGCTCTTATGTGCAGAACCCATGCTCAGACGTGCTGGTGTGCAGTTTCGGTGTTTTTTGTTGAGATTAGATATTCAGCTTATTGTTATTTCAATGGGAGAGATCTAGGGATGTCTCTCATTCTTCATGTTTCCTGGAATTCCTACTGTCCATCTTTAAATTAAAAAAGTTGCTTAGACATGTGAGGAGACAGATTCTTATGGGAAAAGAAAAAAAAAAAGAAGACACTAGAATTTTACTTTCAGGGAACCCAAATGTTGGAGTTAGGAGAACCATTAAAATAGATAAAATTGTAATGTAAAAGCAAAATAGTTCTCAGATAGGTGATATGAAAAGAGAATTAGAATCTATAATAAGATATCAAGTATACATTCTAGAGTTGAAAAGTTCAGTATATAAAATTAAAAGTTCATATTGGATGAATCAAGTGGATATTTGACAGTAGATTTGACACAGAACATTAGTGAATCTAATAAGGTCAATAGAAAATATCCAAATTAAAACACAGAGAGGACAGAAGTTGGAAAATCAGAAAAGAAATAGGTGATATATAGCATAAAGATAAAAAATGTATAATATAGTAATCTTGAAAGGAAAGGAGAGAGAATGAAGCAGAATCAATGGGTCGGAAGAGATAATAGTTAACATGGTTTCAGATTATTTAGAAAAAATCAATCTAAACACTCAAAGATGATTAATGACATTCAAGTAGAATCAATACAAAGAAACTCACACTTGTAAATTTAATAGTAAACTATTGAAATTAAAGACAAGAGGGAAAGTGTCTTAAAAGCAGCCAGAGGAAAAAAGCACATTACATAAAAAAGAGCAAGTGTAAACTTAACAGCTGACTTCTTAAGTGAAATGATGGAAAGAAGACCGTAGAATAAAAATTTAAGTGCTAAGTGTTAGTGGTTTTTTGATCATTGATGTTCTTTGAGCTTTCTGAGCTTTCTCCTACTTTATGGACTCAGTTTTCATTTCCTGTAGTATATACCTAAACACTTTGTCAAGAAACATTTTCGAATGGCAAATTTTCTCAATCTTTGCACCTTTAAAATATTTTAATTTTGCTTTTAACCTATTTCCCATTTGCCCCAAGAATATATGCCAGCGGCACTTGCAGCTACAGCGTTTACCCTGAGATAATTTGCAGATTACGGTCTTAACCTTACCCCCAAAGTTTGCCATGAAATATCTCACTTTTATTATATTCACACCGTTCTACTATACCGATAGTCTTTGGGAACAAATGACATCATTCTATTTATAGCTTTCTGTTTTTAGTAGTGATATTGCCATTTACAAAATATAGTAATTCTTGATCACTGAAAGTGTCAAATCCTAGAAAATGTAGCATTCCTACACGTGACGTTAAACTAATGCTGGCAGCGAGCTGTACTTTTTCTTTTTGTAAATGAGAAATGGATTAAAACTGAATAATTAATTTCCTAGGGTTTAGATCCAGATTTATTATCATTTAGTTTTAACAATTTAAAGAAATAACCCCATTACATATTTAATCTTTTTGCCTATGCTATGATTGCAGATTTGATACTCATTCTTCACATTCTTTTGAAGCTTTAGGATTTTTTCACTTCTTTCATTCATCCACACATATTTACTGGTTTTCTAATGTGTGCCAGGCACTACTCTAAGTGCTCAAGATACAGCAGTGAATCAAATAGAAAATAAAAACTTCCTTCAGAGAACTTACATTTCTTGGGGTTCTGAACTATTATTACCATTCATATGAGTGTATTCTATGTGTTTGTGTGTGTGTTAACTCAGCTCTTAATCCTATGCCCTTTTTTTGAGGGTGGAGAGGTGGAATGGAAAACATTCTTCCATCTCCTTTAATTTTTCTCAGTTCTTTATTCTGGAACTCCTACTAGTAATCTTGGAGCATCTGTGTTGATCTCCTTTACTCCTGAGCATCTCTGTGGTATATTTTGTGTTATTGTTATTTTGTATGTTGTTTTGGGAAAACACCTAATTTTGAAGATTTTTTTAGGCAATCACCTGTTTAGCTATTCTACTTTGACTTTTTTGAGTCTTTTTTTTAATCCGAGTTTTTACATTTTAGTTTTGTATGAACTTATTACTATTTAAATGTGTTTTTTTTTTCAAACTTTTTTCTTTATTTAAATTTTTATTTAGGTTAATAACTCTCTTTTTTTCAGAAATTGCTTCTTTCTTCTCCTTATTAAAGTATTTTTATTGCCTCACATCATATGTATGAGTTTTATTCAAATGTTTGCTGAATTTTGTTCATCGGTTTACTTTTATTTTAGGATTCTGGTGCCAATGATATTTTCTCATTTACTTCTAAGTTATCTCATTTAATTCAATATGTGCTTATCAATTCTCCTAAGAGTTGAGAAAGGATAAGATGTGTGACTAGGCTAGTTCTTCATATTGCTTACACATATGTTTTACCTTACCTTCCTGGTATCATAAGTCTCACAAAATAATTCTCTGCTGCTGTATTCCCTGTGCTAGCTCTGAGCGTCTCCTTTATCAGAACTCTCATCTTAGAAAGTTGAAGTTTTTTTCTCCTATACAAATTTTGGCTTGTGGTTTCTCTAATTTTCTCTGTGTGGTTTTTATTTCATATGCTTTCTAACCTCAAGGAATTCCTCCATTTAATCTCGGTGTATTAGTATAGGCATAATATTAGAATATTAACTTACTTAGTTGTATAGAAGCTCCTAAATATTATTTAAAAATTATTAGCTCTTAAAATAAATGACTAGTTTTCCTAAGTGAATTTTATTGTAACTTTATTATGATTTCAGTTTTAGTATTTGTTTTCAATCTATATTTTAAAAACATCACACATTTAATTTATGCTGACTACTATTTATCTTCATTTTAGGAGTTTATTAGAAATTTGCATTTACAAATGGAAGAAGAAAGAACAAGATTTAAAGACCTACAGAAAAAAGAAAAAATGCGTTTGTTAAAACTGCGGCATGATGCAGCTGTAAAAATTCAAGCTAAATATAGAGCGTTTATGGCCTACCAAAAATATGGTCCAATTATAAAAGAACAAATAGACAATAAGAAAAGGAAAGCACTAGAGTGGAAAGAAAAGGAAGCAAAAATACGCCAGATGGAAGAAGAAAAACGAAAAAGATTAGAAGAGGAACAAAGGATAGAAGAAGAGATAAAAAGGTGGAAGCAAGAGGAAAGGAAAAGGAGAGAAAAAGAATATGAAGAAAAAAAGAACATCCTAAGACAAGAAAAAGAGCAACTACTAAATAAAGAGAAATTAAGATTAAAAGAAGATGGAAGAAAACAGCTAATAATAAGTGGAGCGTTAAAAAAGGGAGAACATAATGCCAAACATTTAAATGTCAAAGATACATCAAAGAATAACGATGATATAACCAAAAATCTAGGGGATGAAAAGTCAAAGAAGTTGGAAGATGTTCCCCTTTGGCTTGTTAAAGAAGTGAATAAGAGAGAAAATGTAGATAGACAGCTTGTATTAAATGAATCAATACAAGTACAATTAGAAGAATCTACATTGAACCAAGCAGTTTTGGCAGAATTTAAAATGGAAGAAAAAAATGAAAATCTAGCAAAAAAACAATGTTCAGAAAAATTGGGCAAGCAAGAAAGAAAATATGAAAATATAGACAAAAAAACTGAATTGGAAAACCCAGATTCAAAAGAAAACATGAAAAAAGGGTTTCAGCTGCAAGAATTAAAGTCTCTAATACAAAAAGAAGCATCTTTGCAACCTGTCATAAAGGATAATATAAAAGAAACCCAAATAATGATATTAGGACATAATCAAATCCACGAGGTAAAAAGTAATGAAGCACAGAAAAAAATCAAAGTTAATCAACAGAATAAGATACAAAATGTAGAAAAAGAAGAGATGTCAGAACAAAATGGAATATTATATGGAGAGAATAACATTTCAGTGATTTCAATGAAACAAAAACTACTACCATTAGTATTAGAAAATTCCAAAGATATAAGGGAAAATTTAATACTGCAAGAAAAAGAAATTGCTTTAAAATCTAAAGGAACCGAGGAGAACCCAAAAGGCAATGATCTAAACAGTAACGTTATTTTTAATGTCAGTGATTCTGTGATAAATGCAGAAGGCAAAATAAACAAGCAAAATTATATTTTGGGTAGACATGCTCTTTGCAAAGACTTGGGTGGGTATAACGCAAGAAGCTCCTTGGTTTTTAAAGAATTAAACTCTCTAAAGTCTCAGATTAAAGAAATTCCAGAAGAATGTCATGAAAATAGAGCTGAAAGTGAAAATTTTATGACCAGTTCTGTACCTGAGCCGACACTTCTATCTTCTATTGAAGAAAAGAGACTAGCTTGGATAAAATCATTTAAACCCTGGTTTGAAATTTTCAAGCAAAATCAACAAAAGAAGATTGTTAAGAGAAAGAGACTTGTAAAATGCCCAGCCAACACTATGGCCCCTTTGAATACACTAGAAATTCTTCAGTGTGGCCCTTGGAATAATTTACAACAGGTATTTTGTAATTTTATAATACTTTTTCATATTTAATTGCAATTGCTTCTCTAAAATGTAACTTTTTAAATCTTAGCAGAAGGCATATTTTATATCCAAGAATTCTGTCTCTTAATCAGTGAAGTTGCTAATATTGCCCCCATTTGAGAGGGAGATGTATTTAAAAGATCTCTTTAATTTAAATTATTAAGGACATCTTCTCCCTCAGTGAAGCACTATGAAAAACTTTGGTTTATATCCTGAAGGCTGTGTTGAAGGGCCCTATAGCCATTACTAAGTTTTTAAGACTGGTATCCGGGAATGCAGAGTTGAATTAGAATAGAAAACTCCCGACTGAGTCAGTTAGGAGTTTGCTTTAGTCTTGGGCCACAGCACCACCTGGTGGCTCCTTTCGGAATGAAGTGAATTTCCCTGTAAAAGCGCCACGAAAGAAGAGCTTTTAGCAATAGAAGACTCTAGAATTTCTATAATTTAGTCATATGCTACATAAAAGCATGGCGGATATATGCTTGAAATTTAATATAGTTGTTGTCAAATGTGACTAATTTTCTATGTTTCATAGTTTCGATTAAAATTCAGACAGAATCTAACGGATGTGTAGAAAAACGGATTTCAAATAGTGGAATACTAAAAAGGACTTATGATTAAAAAACATATTTAGCTAGGTCTTGAAATTCAAATGTATTTAATAAAGTTTATTTTTAGTTTCTCAATATAGGCAGATGCCTAGGAAAGGAAATATTCATATTAATATATGCATTATTTTATTTATTCACTCAGCAAATATTCATCTGCCCAATATGATTAACCAATATTTATTGTTGCACCAAATAGACAGATACAAAACCAAGTCTTTGCCCTTATGGAGCTTACTATGGTAAAGAAAAAGGCATTAAACAAATTCACAGATAAATACATTATTACAGATCTTGATAATTACTGTAAATAAGATTTCAGAATATTCTGTGAGAAGATAACAGAATTCAAAAAGATCTCTGAAATGTAAAAGAACAGTGGAAAGAAGTACTCTGAAGCGTCCTCTGTTTCTTAGGCAGTGTATTTGCCATATTCATCAGATCTGTACACATCGAATCTCTCATTAGCTCTTCTATTGCTTTTTTCTCTTTGGCTACATTATATCTGGAATATCATTCTTTTTCTGCTTTCCCTATGATGTTGCTGCAGGCTTTCTGAAGTGATAACATTAGCTACTATTTTATTTAAAGTCATTTTCTTCATGAATATCTATTTGGGCGAAGCATGAGTGACAGCTTCATGTCTACAGTGAACTTGTTTAAAAGTAAAACTGACGTTAGAGAGAAAGTAGTGCTCCCCTCCTTAGTTGCGTGTCTCTGTTTAGTCTAATGAAGGAGCACTGAGGACATTAAGATGTGTGAACTTCTTTCTACTTGGTCTTTCTTCTCCTGCCCACTCAGTTCCTTCTGTGGAACTTTTGTCAATTTACATAAAGTGAGAATTAAGCCTTTCTTTTATTTCTTAGTGTATGACCTCACAAACTGTAATATGTAATACATATCGCCTGGGGATTTGTTAAAATGTCAGTTCTGAGTCATTAGGTCTGGTGATCAACCCCCATGCTCTAAATTTTTATAATGCCCCTGGCTGATGCTGTTTATGCTGGTCCATAGACAATTGGAGTAGCAGTGTTCTAAAGGATCCTGTTATCCTCTGACCACCAGTCAAAGCAACTATTTTTTCAAATAGTTAATTTTTTTGAAGCATCAAATATACAGTATATAGATGAAAATTATATGTCAATGTGCAATATAAATGCCCAAATGCTATAAAATACCATCTTATAATAACTTTAGCAGATGGCCTGTTGTGTCTTTGTTCACTGCTGCTATTGACCTATGACTCACTTTATTACTTTGATTTTCTAAACTTTTAGTTTCACATCTTTGTTCTTATCTTGATCACCCTTTGCCATCTTTGGAAGGGCTTTCTGGAGAGGACCTTTACAAAAGAAAAGTTTACTCTTCTGAAATTTCACCCAGTAATGAATTAATTTTGCTTATATTAATCTCTCTGAATCTTCAGGACACAAATCAGTTCTGCCTCTTGTGCTTACTTTTTTATGTACTGTCAGGCAGATAGTGGTTTTCATTAGTTGACTATGGCATGGATGAGTGGGAGAATGAAAAAATGGATGGATCAATCTAACTGAATGTTAATCTTATCTGCATATTATTACTAGCTTCACAATTTCAATATAGTGTATTGATTAATAAAGAAATGAAAATAAAATTATTAGAGTGTAATTTAATAAAGTACTAACAAGCCCAGTATCAAGTCAGATCAGAGTACTAATTTTATTTCTGCCATTTACTGGCTGTCATCTTATGTAAGGTTCTTGATCTTTCTGAGCCTTTTTTGTCTTCTATAAACTGGAAGAGCAATACCTACTTAGTAGGATTGTTGAGTTTTAAAATACAATATATGAAGACTATAGAGCTCTCGATATATTTGTCAAACATAGATCTCAAGCATCTGAAGAAAAAAGCAAATTGATTTTTGAAGGCTGCTTAATAGCCTGTTTCATCAAAGAAATTACTAAGTTGAAAATTCTGGACTGTACTCTATATGCAGTAATATCACAAAGGGAGATGACTGAAGAGCAATGATTATTGACAACTAATACATTTTAATTTTTCCTAGTTTTACTGTTTTAACTAATTTATTTTTCTTTTATTATTGGTATTTTACTCCTAATGGTAACTTGCTTTAAATAACAACCCCAAAAATGTACTAAGTATAAGGCTTTATAACATGGCACAAACAATAACATTTTAGCTGCAGATTAATATCAGAATGTCTCACTTACTTTATACAAGGCAAATTGCAACTGGTGTGATGGTACATGACTTACTTGAAGTTAGATTCTCTTTCACTTAAGCCACTAATCATATCTTAGGTTCAGTCTTTGTAGCTGACTTTTTAAAGATTACTTCTGCAGGATTGATAGATTTGAGATGTGGCACTAAACAGATGTTCTGCAAAAAGCAAAATATAGAGTCATTGCTTTCATTACTTATGTAATTATAGTTTACCATAGATGACTGACACTTCTTGGGTTGAACTCAAGAATAACTGAGAGTAAATCCTCAAAAAAATGGATATGTATAATATGTACCATGAGCTGTCAAGGATTTGGAGAAAGATAGATCAGTAAGTAGAAAAATGATTTGTGATCTTTAATTAAAATACAATAAAGATTGAAGCATCTACAGATGGAACCATTCATTTTCAAGTCAGGGGAGTCAGAAAATGTGATTTTCAAATATTTTTATATTACCCTTTATAAGGAAAAGAAACTACGAATGCTATAGGTATTTATTTAGTTTTACCACAGGTCTAGGGAAGTTTGTGTATTTATTTAAGAAACATTTAGTGAACATTTACTATGTTCCAGTTGTTCTTTTTTAGACTGACCATATAGTGATGAACAACTATGAGAACTAATTCTACGTTGACCTTAATTTTTGGAGTGTTACTTACGTGATTCTTGTCATGCATGTCCAATAAGTGAATCATGTAAAACATTTCGTTCTCATATGTTTGGATAAATCTAGGGTAGGGTAGATAATAATTGCTATATCATAAATTTTTTAAATGTTTAAGAAAAAGGAGGAGAAAATGTTATGAAATGCCTCATATTCAAAAGTAGGTAGCACTAACAAGGACACTGCAGCAGTTGTCACTCCTGTACTATAATTAAACTAGCAAATTGCCACATTATAATAACTAGAACTTGTGTTTATATATTTCATTGTAAGCAGCATCTTATTAAATCAGGCAGAATAATATAAATTATAAGGTAGAGTAACATTTGTTACTGTAAAGCTGCAGTTGTAGAGTTTTCAGTTTTTAAGTGCTCAATTCTAAATAGCGTGTTTATTTTTCAGTGTAGAGCCAGTTTTCCAATTACAGAATTTATAGTAAGTATTTCTTTGTGGACAAATTAAATGGACATTACCCAGCAGTTAACCTTGTCACAAATGGATAAATATTTTCCTTTCTAAAAAATATAAAAATATTTGTTTCAAAAGTTGTTTTAAATTTATTTTTTCAATTACAGTTAACATACAATATAATAGTTTCAGGTGTACAACATAGTGATTAGACATTTATATAGCCTATGAAGTGGTCACCTCATTTAGTACCCATCTGACACCAGGCATAGTTATTATAGTATTATTGACTATATTTCTTATGCTGTACCTTACATCCTCATGACTATTTTAGTAACTGGCAATTTGTACTTCTTAATCTCTTTCACCTTTGTCACCCATCACTCCAAAACTCCTCCATCTGATGACCACCGATTGGTGTCTGTTTCTATGAGTTTGTTTATGTTTACTTTGTTAAGCTTCCGTGTAAAAGTGATATCATATGGTATGATTTCTGACTTGCACTTATTTTGGACTTCTTTCTTATTTTCCTCGTGGGTCTCCCATTTATTATCACTTTCCGTCCACCTAAAACATATGCTATAGATACTGACATATCCTCGCACTTTTTGTTTGAATGGGAATGTGTGTATTTCACTTTTATTCATGAACAATATTTTCACCGATAAAAAGGTAATTTAGATTATGGATAATTTAGAAATTCCTAAAATTATGAAACTAGAAACTTTAATTCAACCAAAGTTTTTAAAATATATATTGTTGTTTTTGCTACTTAAACAAGGCATAGACTTTATCACTTCTTTATGTCTTTATGAGCATATGGTCTTCCTATTTGTTTAATATAATGCACAGGACGTGTTCCATATGTAGAGGAGTTACTGCACTTAAAAATTTTATATTTTTTCCAGCTTTCTCTGAAGCAATAATGCTTTCCATTTCGACAAACAGTTTTTGAATTTCTATTTGGAGTACAATGTATATTAGAATCTTTTTGTAAAGCTAATAATTTTTAAATGTTATTCAGAACATGAGAAATCTGGCATTAGGATTTTTCACATGGCAATACCAAAGTATTCTTACTATAAAGTGATTTATGTAGTTATTTCAGTGCATAGACTCAAATTTAGTGAAGAACCAACATATTATGTTATTCCTCTGTCTTTTACTTAGGTGAGAGTTCTTGAATTTAATAAGTGGACTGCTTTTCAGTAATCCAAAAATACTTCTGTCTGACATATTCTTGTAGAACAATAAGTTCAGTCCTCACTATCGCATAAAGTTGAGTACATTCTTTGACATTGCATTTTCTTTAGTTTAAAAGATTTAAACCAACAAGATAGAAAAGTTCCTTAAGAAAAAATGTTTATCAAGTATTGACTCTATGGTACTATCTCAATAATATGAAATGTTGTACATGTATGGTCTTCAAATATTTGAAAAATACATAAAATATTATTCATGATTTGTTTTACCATGATACTACATGCTTGGGTATGTTACATTATTCAGTCATAGAGAATGATTTATATCTTTATAATACAGAAGACTTCCAATGGAATGTTGTTTGTAATACATGGTTCAATTATTATTGCAAGATTCTACTTATCACAGGTTCTATAATATCTCTTCTCAGTCAGACTTTCTTCTTTTCTGGAAGATAGTTAAGCTATTCGGTTGAAGCATGGCAGGTTGGACATAAAATCTATTTCCTGATCTGTTGTGGCTCCTGTTACTATCCAGATATCCCTAGGATACTGTCAAACACAGATCTTAAACATTTATATAGTGCAATCCTGAAAATAATGCCAAGGACATGCAAAACAAGGAAAATGAATTTGGTGAAAAACCTGGGAGTGAGCTAATAAAATTATAGTGTTACTACTTCTATGCATATTCCTTTTGAACTTGAATTGGTAATAGAAATTATTGCATTATTTTGCCTTTCTATGTGGGGAACAAAAAAGTCCAAATAGTTTAAATGAAATTGAGTTGTTAATAAATGTGGGTTTCAATATATAGCATTATTTTAGATGACTTTTTAAAAATAATTTTGCAAGGCTAATATAATAATATTCATTATTGTTAGATAATGTTATACACTCCAATTTTCTTTAATTCTGTAGGTTACAACAGTTACGTTTCAAGATTTGCCAGGTTGTAGTCTTTCCACACTGGCAGAGTGTACAAATCTTCAGTTTTTGTCTCTTCGACGCTGTGGATTAACTTCTTTGAATAGCCTGAGTAACTGCAAAAAACTGAAATACATTGATGTACAGGTATGTTTTCTATTCCCATTATTTATCTTATTGTGAAATATAAAATGGATTCTTTACATTCAGAAAAGACTATTTTGAAGAAACGTTTACTAAAATAACATGTAATTTATGGTCTAAAGAGATCAAGGGCCAAAATTTGTGAGAACCATAGAGGGAAGATGATTAGGTGGAATGACCCAGAATGAGTTATCTCTATTTGCAGGTGATTGCTTTTGTTACTTTTTGCTGCATTACTAATGACCAGATTACTTAGTAAATTAAAACTACAACTATTTTATTTGCTCATGGTTCTGGGGCCATGAATTGAGGTCAGGCTTGTCTGGTTATTTCTTCTGCTTCATATTGTATTGGCTGGGTCTCATATAATTTGCATCAGGGGCTGGAATGTCTAAAATGCCTTCTCTTATATGATTGGTACCTTAAGGGGTTAGAATTTCAGTCTCTCTCTCTTTCTCTCTCTCTTAGGCTTCTTTACAGGATAGCTGAATCCCCGGAATGAGCGTTGCAAAAAGATAAGCTCCAATATACAAACACTTATCAAGCACCTCCTGTCATCATGCTAGCTAATGTTCTATTGGTCAAGCAAGCCCTAAGTTTATGTGGACAGGGATTGTGTGGATACATGAATATTGGGTTGTGAGGTTTATTGGGGACTTTCAAAGTAACAGTCTACCACCTACCCTCTGGCTCCTAATGAGTCCACATCCTTCCCACACGCAAAATATTCTCATGTCCCAAAGACCCCAAAGTCCCATCAATTTATGGCATCAGATTCAAATTCGAAGTACAGAATCTTCTCATCTAAATAAGATCCAAGTGGAAATGATCTGCTCAGATAATTTTCTCAAGTCAGAGATGTGTGAAGTAAGATGAAAAGTTATCTCCCCACTACCACACACACACCCATACCCACATCCACATACAGTAGTGAAACAGGCTTGATTAATTATAGTAGTCAATCTCATTCAAAATGGGAGAAAATGAGAAACTCATAGCAGTTCCAGGGCCATATCATCAAATTCTTAATAAGGGCTCAGTTTTGCTCCATGGTAATGGTTCTCTGTGACTCTTGATTCTGCCTACTGGGCTTTTGACTCTATCCTCAAGGCATGCTTCTTTTTTTAAAAAGTGCCTTGTGTTGCAGCTGAGAATTTCAGCCAGTTTCTTTTCCGTAGAAGGCTTTGGGAGTGGGGGTGTTCCTAGAGGGTGCTCTTTATTTTGAATTATATAAATTTTCTGTTCACACTGGTAGTGCTTCCACCAATATATTTTCTTTTTAAAACTTTGTGGGTTTCCTATGCTTTTTATTAAGTTTCTCCATTAGACAGAGGCTATACTCATAAATATTTTTGAGAGAAGTGCTATGAACTACACTCTTAGGATTCTTAAAAACCCATTTATCTTTCTGAAGCTTAAAAAAAAGAATTGCTGTTGCATCCTTGACACATGATCTTGACATTGAGACCAATATTATGCATTGCAGAGATATGTATGTGTAGTAAAATTATAAACCTATACATGAGATATGTACTTAACTCATCATATTAGTATTTTTTTAGAGAGGAAAGGACTGAGGAGGGATAATGGGGAGTTTTTTAGTGTTTGGCTTCTTTAAAAGTACAGTTTTATAAGAACTATGACCAAATATTTACTCTTGTTCATTTAGATTCAAATATTTTGTTATATGAATCCACTATATTTTCTATATTTTAAAAGACTTAATAAATATAATATCAATTAATTATTTATTAGGTTACTTAATATTTTCATCTAGATAGTATAACATTCTGCATAGTTATCTTAATATTTAGAGATTCAGATACTCATTTAGAGATTATATCTTATCTTTCCTCTTTTTGCCAGTTTTAAGTGTTTTATTAATAAGCCATTAAAATAAAACTAATTACATTTGTTTTTTGTTTTAGGAAAATAATATTGAGACTATCAACTGTGAAAATTTGGAAAATCTCTCTATTGTTCTTCTTAATAAAAATCAACTGACTTCTTTTCATGGTTTGGATGGCTGCACTAATATCCAAAATCTTGAACTTTCACATAATAAAATCACACGAATTGGTGAGAACCATAGAATTTGAATATATAGATATTTATTTTTCATGATTATATTTTATTTCATTTGTTTTTAAGAATAGGCCACCATCACTAATTTATTTATTTATTTTTCAGGACATACTTATTTAATCTTTATCTTGATTTATCAAGAAAATAAATTATTTTTAATGTCTATGAAAAGAATATGCTCTTACCATTGGTAGATGGGTAGTTAGTAGTTCCTTCTATTAGTATATTCACTTCCCTGTTACTTTTCTTATAACCTGTAGTGATCTGAGCTCTACAGGTAATATAATATCCCAGTTTGTTGCCATGATATTTTTATGGATCCTATGCACTCTACACTTCTCAGCAACTGTCACAGCTGTTTCCTGGTAAAGCCTTTCATCGCTACTCTCCTTGCCTACATACATCATTTGCACTAACCATTCTTTCTTTAGATAAGGCTACTAACACTGCCTAAAATAAATAATTCATCAGTTTAAATCTCTCTGATCTTCTCCATCCCTCTGTTTGTACATCTGTTTAACTGTATATCTACATCTGTTTCCACCCTCAGACTTTGTAATCCATATAATCCAGCAATGAGACTGTCTTTTCTTGTTTAAGGCCAGTATTTCTATTTCTATAAATATACCTATCAGTCTCCTCTTGTACCTTACTCCATCATTTATCACCTGTCTTATGTCAGATTTTTTTCTGTTGCCATTTACTTCTACCATTGCCTCATTCGTCTTACACTTTGCTGTCAAGTTTTGTGAAAGAGTATTCTGTTCTTACTCTCATTTCTTACTACCTAACTTCTCACTTCTATCCACTGAAATTCAGCTTCAACTTATTTCTATACTGTTTCCAGTATGATAATTCTAAAATAAAGTTCTTATTATATTTTTTTCTACCTGGATTAAACTTCTCTGTTATTTTTTATTATTTAACTTATGAAACTCTAAGGGACTTAATAGAGGCTTACATCATGGTTAATGTATAATCAAGGATTGCCAAAAAATCAGGAACTAGGTAACAACTTTACTCTGGTACGATACTAATGGCTTAAATTTTTGGACCCCCAAATGGTGCCATTTTTTCCACCTCCTCTGTCCTACAATCATTAGGAAATGAGATGTGGACTGAAATATCAGAGAGCGGATAGGAATAGATAGGAAGTAGAAGTAGAAGTGGTTAGGCCAAATTCTATTTAGGTCTCCTTGAGATTAGTTTTCTTTGTTTACTTATGTTTTCTTTTTAATTTTTGTTTTGTTGTTGAAAATTTCAAAAATTTACAAAATAAATACATGAATATTCCATATAATCATATTCACATTTGCTTCATCGTTATTTTTTCTTGGTTTTGATTGTTTTTTTTTTTAATTTCCAAATTATATAATTTTATCCTTTCATACTTCAAGAGACGATTTTTAATATAGTCCTTTCTTACTTAACCATAGTGCATTGCGACACCTAATAAAATTAATAGTGATTCTTTGTATCAAGTGATAATCCATAATCCAATTTTTCTTATTTTCACAAAATTTTCTGTTTGTTTGAATCATAGTACATATTATTTTTATATGTCTTTAATGTCTCTGATCTGTAGCAGTCCTCCTGCTTTTTTCCCCTATGCCACTGATTTGTTACAGAATGTATGTTAATTGTCCCATACAAGGTCCTGCATTCTGAATTTGTTCATTTACTTGTCACTGAAATTGTTTTACTAAGCCCTGCATTTCCTGTAAATGAATGTTATCTCAACAGGCTTGATTAGATCTAGATTTAGTCATTCCTGCAGGACTTTTCATAGGTGGCACTCTGGGCATCATGTTGCCCTACATTAGAAGTCATACCATGTTTTCTTGCTATTAACGATGTTACAGTTGAGTATCTGGTACAGCTAGCAACAGCCTAAACCCTCCATTATAAAGTTCTCTACCAATCTTTTCCATAGTGTTTTCATCTATTGATTAATGTGGCCTGAATCAATTAATGCAATGGGTCATGCAAAAAGTAAGTTTTCTAATTTGATCATTCTTACATATTTTTAAAGATGGAATTCTTTATTTAATATAAACTATTTGGTTATCTTGAAATAGTTTGTAGCGAAAAGACGAGATAAGTGCCTGCCTACCTTTGTGCTGACAAATTTTTATAGTAGTGTCTCAGTGGCTCTTGTTACTTTCAGGGGTGCTAAATGAATTTTTTTCCTTTATTTAGTTTGCTTAGTTTGCTTGTTTTCTCCCCTTCTCTCTCTCCACTTTGTCTCTACCCCTTCTCCCTTTCTTAATATTCTTATGAACTGAAATTTTTATGATATAGAATATTTCAGTCTATTACCTTATTATACATTTTGATACTCAAATTGTCCTATCCTGAGAATTTGGTTAGAGATATTGATATCCTCAATTCAAATTTATTTTTAAAACTTTATAGTTGTACACCCTTTCTCTTTCACTATAATCCTTGGTTGATAACATTAATATAACTATTCACTCTCATAATATTTATAAAATAACTTCAAAACAATAATACTGATATTACTAAATATAAAACTACTAAGTTAATTTTAAGATTTCTTTGGATTTCTTTTCTACTTTTCTTTTGTTCTCCAAAGTGATACCTGAAGTATTTTATCTTTGTGATTATGTTATGAGTTTAAGATATAGTTTACTTTTCTCATTTGATTGTTTTTTATATGTAAAACAGATGTTCCCAAAGTTAAACTATGTTAAAAAAAAAGGCATACTCAAAGAAATTGTTTTCATCCGTCTTTTCCACTCTGTTCTCCCATCTGCTTTTATATATAGCTGATTTTGTATATATTTGTGTATAACATATATATGTATATAATATGTGTATCACATGTGTACGTATGTGTATATATTAATATACATACATGCACAAATATAGCTAAGAAATATATGTATACATGCACATCCTTTCTTTCACACAATATAGGATATTTTAAGTACTATGCTTTATCTTGCTTTTTTTCACTTAACATATCGTGGAGTTCACAGCATTCTTTTTCCATAGCTTCATAGTGTTTGATAGTGTGGATGGACCAAAGTTTATTTCACTGGTCACTGGTTGATGGACATTGGATGATTTCCAATCTTTCATATTGCCATAATGACTACCCTGATACCTACATTATTTCACACTTTATCAGACATATTTTTAGGTTAATTTCCCACAATCCACATTGTTTGGGCAAAAGACATTTGTAATTTAGAAAGATTGTGCCAGATGCACTTTATATGGGTTCTACCAGTTTGAACTCCTACTACTAATACAGTTTAACATCAGTTTCTTATGCTTTTCTTCTGTTTTTATGTTGTTCTTTTTTTAATTTTTGAATTAAATATTTAATTCCTTTAGTTTTTATCCTTTTTCACTGTTGTCGACATAAAGGCTTAAGTCTATAAATTTTCCTCTGAATACTGCTTAGTCCATAATGTCTGATATATAGGTATTTTCATCAGTTCTACAATTTTAGGATGTATTTTATCTTTTAGCTAATATTTAAAATTTCCATATAGAAAGAGATTTTTGTTATTATTCTTTCTAGTTTTATTGCATTTTGGTCAAAGAATTATTTTGTGCCATTTCTGCTTATTGGAATCTACTGTGATTTTCTAATATGTAGTCAGTTTTCAGGAATGTTTTTTGTGTATATGAAAAGCAGGTTATTGTGTTTTTTTTAATTGGAATATAGAGTTCATATTTTCATCTTTAAGCTAGTTTTAATTTGTCTGTTTATCAGCCTGTTTCTTTTTGTGTATTCTTTGATTTTTGCTTCGTGAATGTTGCTCTTTATTGTTTCACAGACATTTTTAACTGTTATCTTCATTGTGAATTTTAGCCTTGAAAGTTATAAGTTCTCTTTTTCTGTCTCTTTAATGATTTTGAGACTAAGTTCTACCTTGTCTGATATGTTTGTTTGTTTGTTTGCATTTGCCTACTTGGCCATTTAAAAAACAATTTAATCTTTCTGAATCACTGTTTTAGGTGTGTGCTTGTATACAGCATAAATTTAGGTTTTATTTTTTGATCCAAGCTTAAATGGTTTTTTTGTCATATAGACCATGGCCATTTGCACTTATTAATTCAATTTACATACTTGGTCTCAGCACTGTCATCCCACTCAGCATTATGCTCTCTCTTTCTGAAGAGAGGTCTTATTGACAATACATGTTTTTTTCCACCACTGGGGTACTTCTCCTTCTTACTTATCCATTCAATTTACATAGGATTCCCTCTGTATGAGTGTGGACTCAGCCTAAATTGTTGTGTTGGTTCTAGGTACTTATTACCCCACTTAGGAAAAAAAAAACTATCTTGTAATTTATTTCCTAGGTACACTGGAAGGATAATTTGTGTGTATTTTTTATTTTTTATTTTTTTGCTCTTTATGAATCTGGAGGAAGTATGGGGAGAGTAGGATCTAGGCAGTCACAATCAGCTCTCATTTTCTTTTAAATACGGGAAAAATACAGTTGCTTGCACAAAGCAAGCTTTTGTTTTGCAAACATTTCAAAGCACACTTTTGAAAATATAATGTACAATATTCTTTAATGTATTTATTTGCCAATGTGTCTGCATTAACTTTTCCCATATGGAAATACCGATACTTTTGATACACATTTTTTATTTTAGAATTTTAGTTTCAAATACCTATAGAAATAATTTTGTTGTTGTTGGAATGAAGGCAAGTGCATTGATAATGTATGTTACTATATTGGCACACACTGAAGCAAGTTTTAAAAAAAAAAAAAGAAAAGAAAAAGGCTGTTTGTAAGATGAAATGGTTGAACTCTCATTCACTTCATTTTCATTGCCAGCAGCGCTGTATGGGATTTTTTGTAGCCAGTGGATTTCCTGGGATAGGATATCTGCAAGATTTATGTGAAAACTGCCATCGTATTAGTTGATATACCTGGGGTATCTCTATGTAGTACAGAACAAACATGGTAAAAGACATCTTTGCTGTCTGTTCAGTACAATGAAAA